CTCCAGAATGTTAAATGGAAGAAAGGACAGTTCTTTTGTTTATTATTGAGCCTTCGGAAGTGTTTCGAGGTAGGTTTATTTTGTTTTTTAGACCTTGTTTGTTTTTTTTAAACAAGAGTTTCGTATTTTTAGGGTCTTATGGACGGACTGTGTCCAAGGTACGCGTAGTGTTCCCCTGTACCGATACCTTATGGACGGACTGTGTCCAAGGTTATGGTCCAAATTACAGACATTATCTAAGGTCCTAGTAGTGTTCCAAGGTACGGGTAGTGTCTCCATATTGCCACAGTATGGATACAGCGTAAGCCCCATGCTGCTTCGCTCCCATTTCTAAGCCTAGTCAGTAGCTACGGCTGTATTGATTCATGGTGTCCTCATTCTGGCCCCTTTTGTTGTTTTGGCCAACAGGATCGCCGACAGACAGTACATAGATGCGAGCCCACCTCACGCTGTTACTGTTTGAAGCAAGATTACATAAAGAACAGCTAAGTGTAGATTTACATTCTAGTTTTTATGTTTAAGATTTTCAATATTTTCAGTCTTAAACAATAACGTACATCTTAAGTAATACCGTACAGACTCTGTTTAGTGGTTAGATTGTTAAGAACATATTTAATATTATTTACATACATAGCTTTTACTCGACATATAACCACTATAATAATTATTAAAATTGTACAATGCTATTTAACATCAGGATACATCATGAATGAATATAGTCACTAGTTTTAAGTAATTATAATAAATAAACAAATGTGTTTTCTTTTTCTGTACATGCCTGGCGCCCAATATCTATATTTTTTTGTTTATTGTTATTGATTAGTTTTCTCTCTAGTGAAATACCTTATCCACGACTGCTCTCCGATGAAAAGCTGCCGTTCGCAGTGGTAATGTTTTATAAAAACGCTACAATTTACCTATACGCTACAATGTACCTACAAGTTGTACCTTGCTACTCCCAAGGCGTTAAACGCTATATAAGGGAGCTATTATTATTTAAAAGTCTAAAAATGAGACTATCTCTCTCCAATCGTTCCTCATAGCTGATGATCGTGACTTCTATGGAAATACTTTTTGTTTTATAAGATCTTTCCAGGCTAATCTGTCTTCAGCTCGATGGATAGCTGAGTGCAGGGGTAGACCCGTTGTTTGTCTTACTAGATCGATCCATCTTGTTAGGGACCGACCTCTACATCTTTTTCCTTGGACATCACCAATTATAATAATGTTTTCCATGTTGTTAGCAGGTCTTCGAGCAATGTGTCCAAAGTACTCGAGGATGCGTTTCAAACAGATTGCCGACAGTCGGGTGCTTATGTTGAGCTCATTAATTATTGATAGATTAGTTTTTCTAGCTGTCCAAGGTACTCTCAGCATACGTCTGTAGCACATTTTAAAGTTGTCTATCAACTTTCATTTTCCACTCGCAACAGTAGACTCGCCATTTCTTCTTCACTGGTCGCAATTAATGTTGTGTCGTTTGCAAATCGCAAGTTATTGATTTTAGCTCCTCCCACACTCATACCTCCATCCCAGTCTTCCAGAGCTCTCCGCATAATATATTCCCCATATACAGGGTTGTACACCACATACAACACGGAGTATTGTAGCTAAACGATTAGATTTTTGCAAATTGTAAGTTTTGGGTTAGTTGAAGGACTACTAGAGCTACAATTTCAAAATATTTTTACAAGGTACAGTGTCCCAAATAAATAAAAAATATCAAAGTTGTATTTTTCTAAATGGAACACCCTGAATATTATTACATTTTTAGTTTCTACAATTAAAATAAAGGTAAATTTGATTACGGTTTACCGCATTTTAATGTTGCCGTTTTTAAATATTTAGGTTTTTGTCAAAATACAGTAATAATTTTAATGCTTCATTTCTCTAGGCGTATTTAAGTTTTTAAAACCAAATACTGCACTAAAGTATATCTATTTACTTAATTTTGTGTTGGAATAATAAAACAGAGTGTCTAAAAATGTATTTTAAATAATTACCAGCTTTAAACGGCAATAACTTGTTTAATTTAAATGGAACACCCTGTATATTTTAGGAGAATCAGATACACAATTTAATTGTCTATCAAATTGTATTGTACCATTTTTTACCTATGTCTTCAACTTTTCGTAGAAAATGCATTTTCTTATAATTTAGACCTCATTTATCAATATACCCATGGAATATTGACATTTTAGATTATTTTTAAAGATATAACAAATTTTTAAAAAGTACAGATACTAATATTGTCGATATAGTTCGTTTATTTCATTAAAAATTAAAAAAACTGTTTAAATATTAAAATATTTGTTAAAAGAGGACCAAGTAATATGATTCCAGTATTCAAACTACATTAATTGACTGTTTGCGTTGAGTAATAATAATTGCTGCAAATACTAAAAAACTGAATTTTGTATGTGTATTAGACAGTGTGGTAAAAATTAACACCTTAAAGATTTTATTTAATTTTTTGACGAATGCTTATTTTTGACAAAACAGAGACGTTTTCATTACATTATTATATTGATTTCTGATTTAAATCCACATTTATTTAGTATAATTTATTAACTAACACAATTAAGTATGTAATTAATTAATATTTGGGTGGAAATAATGGTGGTATATTTAATTACTCGTATACTCTTAAATAGTGTTCATTTTGTATACAAATGGGCTAGTAATATTATCGTTTTTAGTACCTTTACATTTTGTACATTTGTTGCTTTAAAAAAATCAGAAATATCAATATTCCATGGGTATATTGATAAATGAGGTCTCAATTATAAGAAAATGTATTTTCTACGAAAACTTAAAGGGATAGGTAAAAAATGGTTAATACAGTTTGATAGACAATAAAATTGAGCATCTGATTCTCCTAAAATATACAGAGTGTTCCATTTAAATTAAACAAGTCATTGCCGTTTAAAGGTAGAAATTATTTAAAATAAATTTTTAGACACTCTGTATGAGGTAGTATTATTTTTATTATTGCAACACAATAATTGTTCAATAAATAAACTTCAGTAAATATTTAGTATTAAAAACTCTGATACTCTTGGAGAAATAAAGCCTTAAATTTTTTACTGCAATTTTACAAAATTGAAAATATTTCAAAAACGGTAAGGTTTAAGTATAATAAACCTTAATCAAATTTACTTTAATTTTAATCGTAGAAACTAAAAATGTAATAATATACAGGGTTTTCTATTAAAAAAAATACAACTTTTGTAGTTTTTATTTATTTGGGACATTCTGTATCTTGTAAAAATATTTTTAAATTGTAGCTCCAACAGTTCTTCAACGAATCCAAAACTTACAATTTGTAAAAATCTAATCGTTTAGCCACAATACTCCGTGTCGTATGTGCTGAACAACCCTGTATATTAAAGAGGATGGGTGAGAGTATACACCCCTGCCGGACGCTTTTATGTGTTTGAAAGTGTTCAGACATGTGTTTCATTCACTTTTACCGTTGCTGTGTTATTAGTATATAAGCTCTCGATCAATGAATGCTACAAGATGTTCTGGTACTCCCATTTCTCCCAAAATCCTCCAGAGCTTTATTAGGAGCATAGAGAAGGTTTCGAATGTTCTCATATCCATTTGACGCAATTAAATGCTTTGTTGTAGTCAACAAAGCAAATGACAGCTTGTACATTAAATTCTCTGCACTTCTCTATCAGTTGTCGCACATTGGTTATTTGTTCACGGGCCTTTGACAAATCCTGCTTGTTGTTTAGGTATTTGGGAGTCGAGGTAATATTTCAAACGCTCATTTATTACATTTAGCATTATCTTGCTGGGATGTGACAGAAGCGAAAGTGTTCTATAGTTGTTGCATTTGTTGGTTGAACCTTTCTTATGCAGAGGTATGATAACTGAAGTTGCCCACTCTTTGGGCCATTTCCATGTTTTCCAGATATTGTTGCAGATGTTACAGATCTTTCTTATTGCCTCATTACCCATATTTTTCAAGAGTTCGCTAGTTATTTCATCTGAGCCGAGAGCTTTATTATCTTTAAGTTTGTGGATAGCTTTTATGATTTCACTGGTCATGATTTCAGGTTACTTTTCCAAAAATGAGACATGCTGGGAAAGATATGGATGCTTAAAGACCCTGCTATCGTTTATATTAAATTCTGAAGTACTAAGATGAAACTAGAAGGATAGAAATTAAACACCTACATATAATTCAAATCAAAATACAGTAAAATTACACCGTCGCAAAACCTTTATAAACTGAAAGTGTAAAACAATTATATTAAATTAAAAATGAAGAAAAATATGCAGTTAATACGTGACATTAAAATATTAATAGTGTGAAAGAGAGTGGAATAAGTGACATTAAAGTATTAATATTGTAGAATGGAACAAAAAAATACAAAAATACCAATTAACGATCTAAATATTTCTCAAAATCTATTGAAAGAGCAAACATCTTCGCAGTCCTAGAAGTCCTGCCTTGCAAATTTGATGGTGGTAATTATAAAACAATGTCTTTCACTAAAACCTTATTTATCTCAGTGACTACTGACTACAGTTTCGATCAATATGAAAAGCTTTGGCTGTGGATGTTAAGGTTATATCCAGTGGCGCAACTAGACACAGACTTTTAGGTGGGCTCAAGTCTTTTGAGAGACTTAGGTCACTATAAAATAATTTATAATTGATTTGAGATTAAAACCAATTTTAAACGAGATAATAGATTTGTCCAGTTTTTCCGTGATTCATCACACAAAGATTAAACAAATTATGGGGATGATCTGTTAACAATAATATTGTGAAATGTTAACAAGAAAACTGAATGAATATAAATCTTCAGTTGTTTTATTTGAATGTCTCATTTTTTACCCAAATATGCATGGCGTGTCTCATTTTTACACCACTTGACCCTACACTTTATACGATCAAATAATGATGTCATTTCTAGCATGAAAACTAGAAGGACTGACTTTATGGTACGAAAAAATACTAAATAGTTTTTTTTTCTTTTGCAGGCTGTGCCCACAATCCCTTAGAACTCACGAGCGGCAACAGGTAATATGATTTGACTTCTTAGCTATAAATTCTTTAGAACAATACAGATAATAAAAAACATCTACTTATTAGATTGAAAACTAACATATCCAACTAACTAATGAGGCGTGTAAAAGAAAATTTCGACATATCTTATTGTAAAATAGTTACGAGCAATTCATATAATCAAATAATTTTACAAATTGTTGATGCAAGAACTTTAAGCGACACATTTATTAATATAATTAGTAATGAATAATAAGCGGATATGCTTGATTTACTACGAAGGCCACGAAAATGCAACCTAGTGTGCATGTTGTATAATGAATACAAACAGGGTCTTACAACCTCTCATTCATCGTATTTTTAAATCCAATAAACGTATATTACATATCGTTCTCTACTCTTAAATGATTAATTAGAATCAATTAGTAAACACTTTTTTATAGTATTTCTTGAAAATGAAATAAAGCTGTTATATCAAACTTCAATTCTCAGTATTTTATTTATACAAGTGTTTCTCAAAAGTGGCTCACCTCTATCACTTTTTATGTTTTCAGGTAAAAATGAGATTTGGTACTTTAGTATTTCTACAACATAAATCTGGATTGACTGATGTACTCGTATTCAATAATTGTTTTCGGTCACCAGAATGACTACCACGTTTGATTTTTAAATGACACCCTCATTATTTTTTTACTTTATTTAATAGAAAATAACACTCTCAATAGAATGACATATTATATATCGACTTTTGACATTTTCGCATATGGTTTATTTGAAATTGTAACATGCGGTTCATAAGGACAATCTTACTCGAAATACCAAGAGCGGGGTACAAAAATATCCATAAAAAAATACTTTTTCAACATGTTTAGTAAAATTTAAATGGTTAATCTTCTAACTAAAGTGACATAAGATTCTTAGAGCCTCCATAACTAACTAATCAATTTGCATCAGTATAATCGTAAGTTGCTTTTAAACATAAACACAACAATTTGTAAAATAACTATTGTAAGATGTCTCTGAAACACTTATAATTTAAATAAACATCTGTTGTTTGTTCGGTTTGAAAATTTTTGTTATACAAGGTGACTTTATAAATGAAAATATTTTCAGGGCTGGTAGATCTCAATAAAATGAACATAATATATTCTCTTTACCGTGTTTCAAATAAGTCCAACCGAGTTATTAAAATTTGAAAATTAAAAAAAAAGATTTATTTTTAAAAAATGTTTAGCCACCTCAATTTTTCGGTATTTGCATCTCTTTTCGTGCCGTAATATCAGAGATTAAGAAATGTGTGTATACCGTGGGAAATTTTGCAGTGAACAGGAAGTTCTAAAAAGTTTTCTAAAATATACAGGAAAATTTCAAAAAAATGCACGATTTTTAACATCTTTCTTTGCAAAAGAAACCTCATAAGCGTGTTCTTGGGCTTGAAATATACCACCCCTGAAAATATTTGCATTTATTTAAGACTCACCCTGTATAGTTTTACCACTATTCTTTTATTAATAACTAATAAATATGACTGACTGACAGCAGAACAAAGAATGAATAGCATTAGGTAAATTTAAATAGTCTCGCTCTAAGTGTATACTAAGAATACGGTAACGTATATTGGCAACTGGGGGCCTCGGTGCAATATTTTTCGAGCTCCCCTTTGTAAAAAGATTGACGAATTTGACGCGAACTCTGCGGTTGACAGAGAAAACATGTGACGGCTATCTCAATGCTTGAGAACTAAAAGCCAAGTCTAAATTGTTGTTGAAAATGTTGCTAAAATTAATTTACTAAAAATTACTGAGGCAGCAGAGAAGAGTTAAATAAGGTTTAAACTAGATTAGATAATAAAATATTAATATGTCTGGAAAATCCAAATATTCTTATTATGGACTGTAACATAGCATTACCTCAGAACATATTTATGTCCACTGCCTAGGTCTAGGTTTTTTTCGTTTGAGTCATGGCATTATCAAAGAAGTTGCCAAATGCAGAAAAGTATAAAGGAAAAGTGTCTCACGATAATTTCAATTTTTTTAAAAAACCTGAGGCAAAAGAGCTTTTTTTGTATGAGAAAAAAACACCCTTACTTATACAGGGTGTTTCAGAACAAATGCGAAAAACTTCAGGGGGTGATTCCTCGTTAAAAATAAAGGGTAGTTTGCTTTATAAACTTTGGGTCAAAAGTCAATCATTAGGGAGATATCGCAGTACAAAGATGGCGGAAAAACAATGTTTTTATTTTTTATCTTGAAAACGAAAAGAGATAGACTTATGAAATTTTATGGAAGCATTACTGTTATGAAAACACACTTTCTGGTAATTTTTTCACTTTTTTAAAATCAGTGGAAGGGGTTGAAATAAACTACCCCTATCATTCTTGTTAACGAAATTTAAAGAAAAATCGTATCAAACACATGCAAAAAAGTAATTGGATAGTTCAGTTTATTTAGAAACTTTTTTATCTCTTGTATTTTTTTGACAAAACTCACCGATTTGAAATTAAAAAATAAAATGTAAAGCATTACATGTCAGGGCAGAAAACATTTTTAGATAAAGTAAAAAAGGCTTCGGAATAATTAATTGATCGTAAGATAATAACGTATTGCAGTAGAGTATGTCAAATTAAATAATATTAGAAACATCCTAAAAAGTGACAGCGGTCGATTAGATTTTTTCCTAAGAAAATTACAGCAGCCAACTAGATTCTTTATCTAAAAATGTTTTTTGTCCTGACATGTAATGCTTTACATTTTATTTTTTAATTTCAAATCGGTGACTTTTATCAAAAAAACACAAGAGATAAAAAAGTTTCTAAATCAACTAAACTATCCAAATTAATGCATCTTGCATGTGTTTGATAAGATTTTTCTTTAAATTTCGTTAACAAGAATGATAGGGATAGTTTATTTCAACCTCTTCCACTCATTTTAAAAAAGTAAAAAAATTACCAGAAAGTGTGTTTTTGTAACAGTAATGCTTCTATAAAATTTCATTAGTCTATCGCTTTTCGTTTTCAAGATAAAAAATAAAAACATTATTTTTCCGCCATCTTTGTTCCGCGATATCTCCCTAATGGTTGACTTTTGACCCAACATTTATAAAGCAAACTACCCTTTATTTTTAACAAGGAATCACTCCCTGAAGTTTTTCGCATTTGTTTTGAAACACCCTGTATATTAATAATTATATATGTTTATAATATGTTTCTTCATTATGGCCATTTTGTTTTTGTGGATTTGGGCCGGTTTCTACTTCCCCATCCACCCCTGTATACTCTATATACCAAGTCACACTCGCATGACTTAATTAATGATACAATTGCAAAAATCATGCTTTTCTATGATTTAATCTAATGTTTTTCATTTTTACATGACTAAAACGCCTTTTATTAATGATTTTCAGTTTTATTTGATACGTTATATTAAAATCTGTGTATGTCAAGGTTTTAATAGAGGTACTTTGGGTTCATGTTAATTTTCTCTCAGTAATTTTTTAAAGTCGGCTTGTTCCTTGAAACGTCAAATAGTTTTTGTGTTTAACAATTAATCAATGTTTGTGTCTGAATATGAACCTATTGAAATATATGTAGGTGTCTGACTCAGGTGTTATTTTTAATTAGAACAGATATATGTTGATGTTTTGTATTTTTTCATTCGCGAGTTTGAGAAGAACATCGATTTATAATGATAAATTCATTAGAAATAAAACAAAATATAGTTTTAAGAGCTCACACACACGCTCATTTCTTGATCACAGGCGGACTATGCAGGCTAGTTTGCGCAGGTATAACTTTTAATTCTTAATCTAAAGTTATAATTGTACAGTATTTTTAAGTTCGCGAACCCCCTTCCACTCATTCTAAATTCTCTTTTTGGGCTTTATAGATTAATATACAGGGTGGTCCGAACTGTATTCCAGAAACTTCGGCAGCAAATTCTGCAGATAAAATAAGTAGAAAAGTTCGTATAAATGTATATCCTATGCTCAGTTTCAGAGATACAGGGTGTAAAAATTTCATTTTTTTTTTCGATTTTTTTCTAAATAATTTCTGAAGTAACGTCAATATATGGTTGAAAATTTGTATCTAGGAGTTTCTTGATATGAGAAATTTGATTTTGAGGTCAATATGACTCCTATTTGTAGGGCGCGCCACCTACATGTGTTTAATTAGTTTGAAGACTAATAACTCTTCGTCGGTACCTGTATAAAACTAGCGAGTAAAAAATATATTTACGACAATTTTTAGGTAAAAAAGTATCTTGGTAAAAATCGTTACGAGTAATGGTTCTCGAGATATTTGGAATCTTAATTATCAAACCTATCATCATCCATCAGTCACATAATAATAATAATAATAATCATCTTTATTTCACATTGTGTATGAATTTACAGAGAATCTGAAAATATATCACAAAGCAAATGGTGTCACAGAAAATGCAGGTCTTAAAAATGTATTTTTTTTCTATAAATAAACTATTTTATCATACCCACACACATGCCTATGTCCCCTCCAGAAAGTCTCTAACCGAGTATGGTTCCATACCAATGATAAGTGCCTTAAGGTTTTGTTTGAATCTTCTAAAATTTGATATTTCTTTTATATTATTTGGTAGTTTATTGAATAACCTGAGACACATATAATATGGATTCCTCTCAGTCAGAGTCAATATGTGTACTGGGTAATTTACATTTAGGGTTCTGGTGTTATACCCATGAGATATCTGTAAATCAAATGAATCCCTATTTTTAAAAAAGAAAATCAGAGCTTCATAAATATAAACCCCATGCACCGTCATCAAACCCTCACTCTTGAAAAGTCCTCGGTAACTATCTCTATACTTCATATTTTTCATTGTCCTCAGCAGTCGCTTTTGAACAACAAATATCTTCTCTATGTCTCTATCTCCCCCCCAAAAAATGATTCCATACCTCAACACCGATAAGAAATTTGCATAATAAAATATCTTAATAGTATTATAGTCCACATATCTTTTAACAACTCTTATCCCGTA